AATGATGGACAGAAGGCTTCTCATACAGCTACAAAGATCCAAGAAACTGTGTCTTGGCATCATATTCGCCACAGTAATGCCTGCTAATTCTGACTGCCATAATGAGTAAGTCTGTTAAAATGAAATATTGGCTTAAAACTCATAACCTTTATAGCAGTTGTCTGGAATGATTTACACCAGGTTTAGATCAATTATTAATTGTGTTTCAAGAATGCTACCTAGAAAAGAACCTAGCTGTTAAATGCCACTTCTGCCCTCACCTACACAAAACTGTGAAGGTAATTGAGAACACTACAAATTAGGATGTTATTCTATATTCCACAAATAACGTTATACATAATATGGAATACTCATGTTATGTTGGATGGAAAAATAAAATTACTTATAATTAAGTAGTAATTCTGATTTCTTCTGGCTTTGCTGAAAATGGATTTCTCAAGAACAAAAGTCCATTTGAGGAAGAATTCCACTAACTTAAGGGCTTAAGGCAATTTTTGCCAACTCTTCATTCTGCTTGGAGTCATAAAGATCTGTTTCAGAAGGACAGAGAACAACCCAAAACAATCAGGGACAGGGGAAAGCAGGTTAAAAATGGAAATTCCCATGTAGGATCTTCCACTGGATCAAATCAGTTTTACAATCTCAAAAAGCAAGCTAAGCTATTATATATACTGCAATAGGCAGAAATCCACTTGTATCAACATATCTGGGCTAGGGGGGCTACATTAGTCTTCCAGGAATGCTTGCAGGGGTGCGCCCCCCCCCCCAACACACACATACACACAATACATTTTCTTCCAATACACAGAGAAACAAATAGTAAAGGCTTTCCCCCCAAATACTCTCCAGAAGGACAGGGGCCAAAGAGACCAAAGATAATATTTTTTGTGTGTGTTTACCAAAACCAAATAAATAAATAAATAAAACCTATTTTAACCTAGCTTCCCTACAAATATGTTGGAAATATTCTTTTCAGCCCCTAGAAGTCATTTTGGAGCAAGAAATATTCTTGAAAAAATATTGATTCATCAGGGAGGGGGATATAAAATTGCCCTGGGGACATCAGATTGCCAATCCCTGGTATTAATCTTTCAACCAATGTGGTTAATGGTTTGAGAATTGGACTGACTCTGGAAACGAGGTTTTGAATGCCCACTTGGCCACTGAAACCCACCAGGTGACCACAGGCAAGTCGTACACTCTCAACCCTAGAAAACAACAATATTTCACCATGCCTGATATCTAAACATTCTGATCCTGGAAATATCCTCCCACACATCGCAAGATGTATACGTATTAAAGGGACAACAAGCTGAAACAACCTAATTTCATAATAGAAAATCCCAAATTTGAACAATATTCCACAACTTTTTCTCTTTTCTCTATAAGGCAAGAGACACACAAGCAATTCAATAGTCAGGATTCTGGGATATACATTTTGATATTTAGGCCTAAATACCAGATTCCACCTGATATTAGAAGCTAAGCAAGATCAGCTCTGGTTAAAACTTGGACAGGAGGCTCTCAATGAATACCAGGTGCTGTAATCTAGAGCAGTGTTTTGGACATCAGCTCCCGGAAATCCCAGCCAGCTTGCCAGCTGCTAGGAACTTCAGGAGCTAAAGTCCAAAACATCTGGAGGAGCAGAATTTGAGAAACACTGGTTTAGAGCAGTGTTTCTCAAACTCTGCTCCTCCAGGTGTTTTGAATTTCAGCTCCCAGAAATCCCAGCCAATTTATCAGCAGTTAGCAATTGTAGGAGCTGAAGTCCAAAACACCTGGAGGAGTAAAGTTTGAGAAACATGGTTTAGAGGAAGGAACTAGCAAAACCATATCTGAATATTCCTTGTCTGAAAAGACCCTACGAAATCCATGGGTTCACCATCTGTAAGCAGGTCAAGACCTTCTTCTGCCAGCAGGCATTTGAGGTATATTGCTGGGGGAATATGCGTAAGATTTGAAAGTATGTGGTAGGGGAGGGGTTAAAGGCTATCTTAAGCGTATTTATTATATTTTACTCTGGTTTTTTTTTTACCTTAACCCACACAATATCATTTGTTTTAAATTTTTTGTATTGCTCTTTTTAGTCTATGATCTAAGTGTGGAATAGTTAGCCTTGAGTCCACACAAGGAGAAAGATGGAAGTATAATTAAAGTAAATAATAACAACAACTTGACATATGACTTGAAAGCACAGGATAGGATTAACCAGTCAATCATCACTCTCCTTGGCCAAACCTCCTCCACTAAACTGCATACTTTTTCAAGACCACTTAAAGTAGTTTAAGAGACCCTCACTACTGATCTGTATATCAGAAACTAGCTCCATGATGTGTGTCTTCTAAAAGGAGATGGGTGTAACAGGGGAACAGGAAAAGAATACAAGTCCATACTCACAAACAAAACCTTTTATTTACATGTCTTGAGGTCACAAAGCCAAGATTAAACATTAGAAGGACAGTCCAAATATGGAAGGAGCCACTACAAAAGCAATAAATAATTTTCTCCTTGAGTCATTAGCCAAGATAAATTGCTTAACCATGTTAGCAAAGTAACTGCAATGTTTACTTTGTCTAAGTTTCGAGAAACAAGGCCACAGGGAGAGGTCTCAGAAATCATTCATACATAGATAGAGACACACATAGACACACTAAAGCTCAGTGAAAACTTTTCACATCACAGCCGTTTCCAGTTTTTTTTTAAAAAAAGATGTTGTCAGATATGACAACTTTTGTGTCCCCTGATGATGCCTTGCTAAGCATTTGGTTATAAGCCATAAAGCAGGAATAATTTCAGCCTGTCAGGAGTCTAGCTAATGCCCAGTTTCCCTCTAGAGAGAATTCCTGTCAAACGTAATGAGAGCTCTGAAGGCCCTCTCTCTACAACATAATGAGCACTTAGGCCAGGCTGGTGATCAGCCAGCAAAAAGCATCAATTTGAGCCTGGCTACACCCTCGGGGCTACACATCACCAGTTTTAATAAGAATTATGATTACTCTCTACCAAATGCCTAGGAACATACTGTCCACGTTTAAAGTCAGGAAAGTTTATCCTAACTGTCCACTCACCCGCCTCCTTTTCTTAAAGTCTAAGCTTATCAAGACAGGCAGGAAAAATCCCCTAACAATCCACCCTTTGAAAAATATTGCTCAGGTAACAAGGGATTTATTTAATTCTGCGCAACTGAAAGCAACGATACAACACTAGTTTGTATATTAAAGTCAAAGTTTATCTACTGCTGTATACAATATAATGAACATGGAAATTCCTACTTAGTAACAACATTGTTTTTGCAACTTTCTCTTCAAGTTTATACTCCAGTTTACACACATTGCCTACAAATTACTAAAACAGAAGAAAATAAAACTGGTTCAATAAGTTCACACATGAAGGCTAAAAGCAAAGACGTCAAATTAAATTTTGTTGCTTCAATCTTTAAAAGTAAACTCAGAGTTGATTCTCTTGCTCCAAATTACCATTTACTTCAGTTATATTAGAAGATTATTATTTATTTATTTAGGGAATTTCTATCTTGTCTTTTTCCGTAACACAGACCCAAAGCGACTTACAAACAGAATACAAACATTAAAATCCTTCAGTCAGGAACAAATAAATAAAACCATAATAAAACAACAATCAATAAAATCCCACATTTCACTTAATCAAAACCTTTTAGAAAAAAAGGAACAATTCAACTAGAAAAAGATGTAACAACATGCTACATTTAAACTCCCATTTAGTAACAAGTGTGTGTAAATAACTTAGATATTTTCTTCTACCAAGATAAAAAATAGTATTTTCTTCTACCATGAGAAAAATGTAGTATTTTATTGCCATTATTATTATGCCACGACAAATATGTTTTCAAAATTAGTATGTATGCAGGTAGAATACTATGAGTGAAAAGAGAATTAAGAGTTTCTTCTTCCTAAGTCCAGGAACATATCCAGAGACTATAAGATACATATATAGATAATTCAAGTGCACTGCCTATACCAAAGAGGAAACTACAATAACTGACAGTGTGCTGTGGTAACTTTGCATTACCAAAGACAATATTTTCAAATATGACTGTCTTTATAGCCCCACCGAACCCACCCTCCAAAAATCAAAGGGTTCAGAGTTACAAAAGCAGAATTCAGCACTGAAACACACTTGCTTAATGGAAGCCTTTGACTATACTGAAGATGTGAAGCCTGAACTAATCAATTTCTTCGCTGTGCCCTAGCCGGTCAGCCATGCTCTTTAATTTAATGAAACAAGAGTTTTAGATGAAATAGCACATATACATCAAGAAAGAATTGTATTGTTGCACTTTGAAATGTGTTCAACTGTGCAACTTCATCTAATGATATTTTTTTAAAGAGGCCATCAATTTCTGAAAGACTTATTGTACCAGCATCTTGATGAAAAAGTGGATGTCAGCATATCTACAGAATACTTACACCCTGCCATTAATGCTTTCTTTGGCAGACAATAACTACTCAATTGAAGGTCCTTTGGGCTGGGCAATCATTTAGCTTTTCTTCTCTTATGAGGTCCTTAGTGCCTTGTTCCAGTTCAATACTCTTTTTATTCACCATTATAGTGGCCATAAGTGTGAATTTTATGGGAACTTGCAAACTCAGTCATAACTAGAGCTTTCCAAGTCACTAATCTTTTCATGCTTTTAAATTGCTAGGATTTGAGCAGCCATCACCATATGCTGCACGGATATAAAAGACTAGGGAAGCAGATCCAAGGTTGAAACCAAAATGGAATTTCCTCCTAGAAATCCATTTCCTTGAAAGCATTTAACTTTAAGTGTCTTTGAAGCAATGGATAGTACCACAGCAATGCTAATTGTTTCCTACAGTGCTCATACAGCCAACAAGCAGCTTATAGAAAAGCTGTGTTTTACCTAAACCATCCCCAAACCTATTACAGGGCCAGTTTTAATTATAAACACAGAATCCCGTTTCAAAAAACACTACCAAATGAATTTTGTAGCAATTTCTTACCTGTTTGTGCATTTCAATATTTAATCCATATGACATTTCATAATACTGTAAAGAAGGGAGAGAAAAGTCTGTTAGACATAAGATTAGGAATAGTAACACTATCATGCACAAAATGGAGCAATTGTCTTGTGTCACTCGAAGGGCAGTCAGGGAAATATATTTCAGCTAAACATTAAGAATAATATACTGAGTCTGTTGGATAGTTGGAACAGTTTGCTTCAAGAAGCACTGGGCTCTCTTTTGCTTGAGGAATCTCTGCAGAAGTTAGGGCCCTTCCACACAGCCATATAACCCAGAATACCAAGGCAAAAAATCCCACAATATCTGCTTTGAACTGGGTTGTCGGAGTCCACACTGCCATATATTCTAGTTCAAAGCAGATAATGTGGGATTTTATTCAGCTGTGTGGAAGGAGCCTTAGAGACCTATCTGTCAGTGCACTGCAGATCAGAGAGTTGCACTAGGTAGACTCCAAAGTCCTTCTAATATTGAATTTTATGTCATAATAAAAGAAAGAAGGAGCCAAGGTCGTACTTACCATCACATAGTGCCTCTGCATTTCTGTCTTTTCACTGGCCAGCTTCTCACATTCCAGTTTAAGGCTAGAAAGGGGAAAACAGGCATTCTTAGCTATGTCAGTTCAGGCATTTGCTTCTATTTGCATTTTGAAAAGGAAACTAGTTTGGGAAACTGTCATAGTGCATACAGTGTAAATACACAGAGGCTTTACCACACTGCTTTCACATAGAACATTAAGCCTGAATACACAAAAGTACATAATATATATTCAGATCAAATTGCATACACAGACACACACTGACAGAAAACATGCACTTAATGGGAAAGCATGGTTGTTAGAAATACATTTCCAACATTCTTGCTCATGTGAGATTCAGAAAGATAGCAACCCCACTACAAAAATAAAACACTGATTTCTGAATAAAGGAGCTGTTCTTCAACTCTGAAACTGCATAATATTTTAGGACTCATAAGTACACTTTCATTTAGTATAAGGTTGTGGAACTGGGTTTTTTCATGAGAGAAAGCAACCATCTATTTGTATGTGTTCCTCACAACAGACCATAAATAATCATTAAGTACTTGTCCTTACCAAAATAGCTTCTGGGTGTTTTTTTAAAATCCTTTCATAATGAATACTGAAGTATAATTTCAGTGATACCATTAAGATATGTGTTTTATACATATGATTACTTGCTTTATACTCCTCCATTAGCCATGTATGCTTTTAAGTTGAAAGTAAATGAAACATATCTTAGGAATCCATAAACATTAACTTAGGACAAAGTCTTCCAGCGAACTTTATATGAGATTTATTTCTGAGTAAACATACATAGTTTGATGCTGGTCAACTGCAATCCAATGTACACTATTCATTACTATACCTCAATAGACACAGAACATTTGACTTTGCAGTGGTTGTTCAACCTCAAACAATTTTACACAGAATTAACATCAATAGAAATTTACTTGTAAAACTCTCACAACTGGGATTACAACCAGCGCTTACTCAAAATAGCCGCCTGAAGGACATTATGACAAATCCTTTAGAAAATTCAAGTACCCAAGTTTTGCTGCTATGATTAAAAGGTATTTGCAATCATATACTATAATACCTGATCTGCTCACGCCATCTTAAAACTTCTGTTTGATCATTACTTATCTGAATGGGCTTGATCTTTGAGTCAAGCCTGTGTACACAGAGTGCTCAAGCTGTGTAACACTTGCTTTCAGCTTTTTGTGTGTTGTTACAAATTAAGACAATACACGGAGAGCCATAAACCATTCTTAAAACTGATTTTTTACTTTGAAGTAAATTCTCTTGGACATGTTAACAATTAAGCATACTTATTGGTAAAATCTAATGCCCATTTTCATGGATGCAAGCTCCATGATGTGCACTTATTTGGGAGTAAGTCACACTGAATGTAGAGTGGCCCTTATGAAAGGAAGGACTCAGGGTCAGATTTTTCGAAGTCAAGATATGTAAGAATCCAAACACCATTTTGAAAAAAAACAGGAAAACAACTCCTTTACTAGAACTGAGGGCATAGCAGTACCCTCTCTGCATTTAGAACATTTTAAATTGATTTTTCAAGCATTTAGTGGTGGAATGCTGGAATATGAGGACAGGAACAGAGTGATCAAATGTCAACTCAGACTCTTTCAAAGGCTTCCAAAGCAAATATTGACAGTTCCTGTGAAGCTCTGAAAGCACACAGGGGAGGGGGAGGGAGTGTTCACCTGAACTGCAGAAAGTCCTACAAATAAAAACAATGGTTCACAATTTTTCCTCCCTTCTCCAACACTGAGTGACAGGCCTTAAACTGAGTCCACACGCCACCACCTGGGCACAAACACTAAGTACATTTTGAAGAAGCCCAACACACCCCACTGAACAACCATAGGCAGAGCGATCTGGAATCCCAAAGCACAAGCAAAGGAACACAAGGGTGTCGATGACTTGCCCAGGCTGCACCCACCTGTGATACTGAGCTTGGAGGAACTGGAATTCTTCTTTGATTCGGTCTAGAGATTCCGGGATAGTGAACTTAAAGGACTGTCCTGCTGCCTGGTGTGGCGTCTGAAGTCCAGAATGCCATGAGGGAGAGAGAGAGACAAGTGAAAAAGGAGTCAACTTGTAAGGAGGAAGAGAGGAAGGTGACCCTTTAATCCCATGACCCAGGTTACCCTCCAGAACACAACCCAAGCAGGAAGGACAGAAGGCAACCACTCAGCATAACCACTCATGTCTAAGGACATGAAGCAGCCACGAGGCCAAGGTGGCATCAAATAACCCCTGAGGGATTTGAGCAGTGCTAGCCATCACACGCTTGATGTTTGTTTCCCTTTCTTTAAACACGAGCTCAGAATATTCAGCTAAGAGGCCTGTTCCCAAACACCTTGATACCCGTTCAGCAAACAGTTGTGGCATCTTCATTTCATCTGCTATCAGATTTTTAGGTGGAGGGAGGGTCTGTGGATCATTGGCTGCTGCCACCAGCAGCCTTCTCCAATTTCTACCCTCTGGGCAAGAGGAGAAGAGGACAGCCCCTCCCCTGTCATTATAGGCTAGTAGACAAACAAGTCTGGGAGTAAACAAAGGAGGAGACTCTCCTGCCCTCCCCTCCCCCCACTTCTGGGGAAGGTAGGCCAAAAAAAGGCAATTGAAGTTTTCCAAATGAGCCCCCAGGAAAGACGGGGGCGGGCCAACAATAATTCCAAGGAGTTTCCCAGGCCTTTGCCTCCCTTCCCTTGCTTCCATGTACTCATCAAAGTCCTTTCCGTTCAGTTTTGTTAACACAGGGCTCACCACAAGCCACACTGAGAGCAAGAAACTGAGATTTAAAATACAGCCTGTCCCACAAAAAAGTATACATTTTTGTGGAACAGCAGCTACAGTGGGTTGCTGTGAGTTTTCCGGGCTGCATGGCCATGTTCCAGAAGCATTCTCTCCTGACGTTTTGCCTGCATCTATGGCAGGCATCCTCAGAGGTTGTGAGTTTGTTGTGAGCTTTGTTGGAAACAAGGCAAGTGGGGTTTATATATCTGTGGAGTAATGTCCAGGGTGGGAGAAAAGAACTCTCATCTTATGGAGGCAAGTGTGCATGTTGCAATTGGCCACCTTGATTAGCACTGAATAGCCTTGGAATAGTCAGGAAAGAATGCTTCCGGAAACATGGACCTACAGCCTGGAAAACCCACAGCAACCCAGTGATTCCGGCCATGAAAGCCTTCGACATCACAGCAGCTACAGTGCTTGTTTAAAGGCGAAGTAAACGCATTTATACGTTGTAATATGTTGTAAGCCACTTTGGGTCCCGTGAGGGAGAAAAACAGGATATAAATAAAGATTTGTTGTTGTCGTTGTTATTTGGAAGAGTAAATGTTATAGAGATTGAGAATCCCTTGTTAGAAAATCCGAAATGCTCCAAACTCCAAAAACATCCCACGGGTGTCTTGAGTGACAGACACCTTTGCTTCTGGGTGCCTCGGGCATACCCAAACTTTGTTCCATGCACAAAAAATATTGTATAGAAAATTACCTCCATTTTAAAATACAAAACACTGCATAGAAAAGTAACTTCAGACTAAGTGCATATGTATGGAACAGCAATTAATTTCATGTTCAGGCTTTGGGTCCCACCTCCAAGATCTCTCAGCAGTCCAATGTTTCAAAATCCCCCTCCCACAATTCCTAACAGTCTCAGGCCCATTTCTTATCCCCACCTCAGCCGCTTAAGCACCCTAGACATTATTCCACAAATAGACAGATAGATAGATGATAAACCCCACTTGCTTAAGCAGCTGAGGGGGAAAAGGAAAGGGCCTGAGGCTGTTAGGAATTGTGGGAGTTGAAGTCCAAAACACCCCGAGGGCCCAAATTGGCCCATGCCTGATATATATACTATGTGTGTATTCTATCTGTACACATGCAGAGACACACTAGTTTGGGGGATATTTTAGTATGTATCCCTATGGGTGAGTCATTATACTATAGAGTGAATGTAGCCCATGACTGATAATGTATGTACACTCCCTCTCTGTCTCTCTATACACACACGCGCGCACACACACAAACTAGTTTGGGGGTATTTTAGTATCACAATGGGTGACTGATTCTACACTGTAGAGTGAATGAAGCCCATGCCTTTTTTATTTATTTATTTATTTATTTATTTATTTATATATATACATACACTACACACACACACACACACACACACACACACACACCATATATATATACTATATATATACACACACACTAGTTTGGGAATATTTTGGTATCCCAATAGGTTAATCATTCTATACTGTATAGTGAATGCTGCCCATGTCTGATATATATACTACATACATACACACACACAAAGTAGTTTGGGGAAAATATATACACACACACACTAGTTGAGGGGCATCTTAGTATCCCAATGGGTGAATCATTCCACACTGTAGAGTGAATGCTGCCCATGCCCAATATTTATACTATATCTCACACACTAGTTTGGGAATATTTTAGTATCCCAATAGGTGAATCATTCTATACTGTAGACTGAATGCTGCCCATGCCTGATATACTACATACACACACAGAGAGTAGTTTGGGGAATATATATATACACACACACTAGTTGAGGGGCATTTTAGTAACCCAATGGGTGAATCATTCCACACTGTAGAGGCTGTATGGCCATCTGTCAGGGGTGCTTTGAATGCAATATTCCTGCTTCTAGGCAGGGGGTTGGACTGGATGGCCCATGAGGTCTCTTCCAACTCTATGATTCTATGAATGCTGTCCATGCCTGATATTTATACTATATATATATCACACACACTAGTTTGGGTAATATATATATGCACACTACTTTGGGGGTATTTTAGTATCCCAATGGGTGATACACACACATACTATACATATATACATATACATATATATATATCACACACTAGTTTGGGGGTATTTTAGTATCCCAATGGGTGAATCATTCAACACTGTGAATGCAGCTTGGGATCCCGGGAGTTGTAGTTTTCTCGGGGCACATCTACACCAGGCATGGTCCAACTTGGGCCCTCCCTCCAGGAGTTTTGGACTCCAACTCCCACCATTCCTAACAGCCTCAGGCCCTTTCCTTTCCCCCCTCAGCCGCTTAAGTGGAAAGGAAAGAAAAGAAAGGACTGTAATTGTCCACATGCTTGTGGATTTAAAAAAACCCTCTACAGTGGTTCTCAACCTGGGGTCCCAGATGTTTTTGGCCTACAACTCCCAGAAATCTCAGCCAGTTTACCAGCTGTTAGGATTTCTGGGAGTTGAAGGCCAAAAACATCTGGGGACCCCAGGTTGAGAACCTCTGTCCTGGAGGGAGGACCCATAATGTTTCAAAGGGATTGAAGTTTCCAAGGTTCATGCGCGCTTATCCATTTCTACGGGTAGCATTTCCCGCACAATAATATTATGATCAGTCACCACCATCACCATCACCATCCCAGAGGTAAAGGGTAGTTAGGATATACGTTACATTATAGAGAAGACACGCGTGTTGGTGGGGAGAGCGGGGGCCACTTACGGGGTGCCGGCTTTGGGGGAACATAGCTGTGGGGGAAAGGCAGGTCCCCAAGTCCTCCTCCTCCTTCCGAAGTTTTCAGGCCCGAAGCGAAGCCCTGGCGCTCAGCCTCTGCGGCTCCGCATCCTCCCGACGCCTTTGTTCCTTCCTTCCTTCAAGAGGGAGAGCGAGAAGTAGGGGAAAAGAGGCCCAGAGCGGGCTTCGAACCCGGAGAGAGCGAGACGCGCCCTTCCTTCTTTCCTTCTCCCTTGCCTTGCCTTCGGCTCCAACTTAACAAGCCAGGAAACGGGACGAAAAGCGAGGCTGTTTTGTTTTCTTTCTTTCCCCGAAGGAATCAAATATGGAGGATCTCCCAACACGGCTCCAAACCACCAAACAAAAGCCTGGCTCCGTCCAAGGCAAGGCCGAGGCCACACTGGGGTTATTATCCCAAAGCGAGGAAAGAAAGGCGCCGCAGCAGCAGGAGCAGAAGCCGCCTCATCCCCGTCGGGCCGCTCCTCTCCCTCGTCTCCTTCTTCTTCTTTCCCTCAAGTTCGTTCCCTCGAAACCACACATCCAAAGCAAGGGAATCAGATACGAAATAGATCCGAAATAATAGAAAAGGACAAAAGGGGGGAGGGGAGGGAGGGAGGGAGAGCAAGAACTCCGCGGGACAACGCAACTCAATAAACGGCACCCAACGTCTCCTCCGCCCGCGCTGGTTACATTAACACGCGGTTTCACACTCCTCGAGCTAACCAGGCTCCTCGGCCACGCCCCGAAAGCGGATGGCAACCAATGGGGTGCTAGGGTACCAACGTGGGGCTGTGACGGAGCACCAATGAGAGGGCCGCTTTGGCAACTCAACGCCGCCCCTTTCTCCCCGACTCTTTCCCCGCCCCTCCTTCTTTTCCGAGGAAGGCTTTCGAGGCTGAGCGAGGCTGAGCGGCAGGACCCCTCCGAGCGAGCCAATGGGAGGCGGTGGAACGCTCAGACAGGGGAAGGTCGGGGAGAAGGAGAGTGGCGAGGCGGAGGTGTCAATCAAAGTAACGTGGGGCAGTGAGAGAGAAAGAAGGAGAGAGAGAGAGAGAAAGAGAGAGAGAGATGACTATATGGGGCTCTCCTCCTCCTCCTTCCCTCCCCCCTCCCCTCCACCTCCGCCCCGCTTTCTCTTTTATTATTATTATTCCTTTACCTTGCCCGGCTCCCTCTCTCTCTCTCTCGAAATCTGTGGAAATAACATAGGGAGATAAATAATGCATCCCTGGTCCAGGACAGGCAAGGGCTGGAGGAGCCAGGTAGAGGCTGCCCTGTTTAAGCGGAGGGAAGGACCAAAGGAGGCAGAAGAGATTCCCCTTCCGTTTGGCAGAAGGAGCCAGAGGGCCGCCAAGAGGAATGAGGCCCCGTTTACATATATCTCTCTCTCTGTGAACACATTTATATTTATAACGGCGGTTCAAGCAGTCATGCTGGCCACATGTCCTTGGAGGTGTCTATGGACAACGCCGGCTCATCGGCTTAGAAATGGAGATGAGCACTATCCCCCAGAGTCGGACACGACTGGACTTAATGTCAGGGGAATATCTTTACCTTTACCTATACATTTATACTTTCATTATATATATATATATATATATATATATATATATACAGTGGAGCAGGTACCCTCAAACTAATAATAATAATAACACTTTATTTGTACCCCGCTACCATCTCCCCAAGGGACTCGGTGCGGCTTACATGAGGCCAAGCCCAAATACAACAATACAAGCAATAATAACAACAATACAAGCAATTAAAATAAAAACATGGACAATACAATAATGCAACATTAACAATAAGACCACACGATTAAAAACTATGGGAAGGCCAAATGGAAAATTAAAATGGAAAATAATGCTGGAATATGGGCGAAAAAGTGATGGGGCGTTTGTGGAAAACATACAAGCAGACCTAAAAAATATAAAGTGCTTTGGAGGACAAAGTGGGATGGGATCATTATTCTGGGAAGGCACACTGGAACAGCCACGTCTTCAAGTTCCTCCTAAAAACTGTGGCCCTCCAGCTGTTTGGGCCTTCAACTCCCAGAATTCCTGACAATTGAACAAGCTCGCTAGGGCTTCTGGGAGTTGGAGGCCCAAACAGCTGGAGGACTGCCATTTGAGGATGCCTGCAGTAGAGTCTCGCTTATCCAACCTTTGCTCATCCAACGTTCTGTATTATCCCTTCAGGGGGAGAAGGGCAGGGTATAAATATAGGAAATAAATAAAATAAAATAAATAAAACACAGTCTGCCTCCCACCCGGATCCACCACTGTTTCAAAACATTGCAATGTTTTGGTGCTAAATTTATAAATACAGCCATTACTCCATAACATTACCATATATTGAACTGCCTTTTCTGTCCATTTGTTGCAAAACATGATGTTTTGGTGCTTAAATTGTAAAATCTTGATGTAATTTGATGTTTAATAGGCATTTCCTTAATCCCTCCTTATTATCCAACGTTTTCGCTTATCCAACATTCAGCCAGTCCATTTATGTGGGATAAGCGAGACTCTACTGTATGTGCTGCTTTGCTTGAGGGTATCTTGTTGGAAATATATTCTTTTGGGTCTTCCAGGGCTGATTCAACTAATCCTTCATGAAAAGGTAGTACAGGTTGCTACTGTATTATTGTTGCATTTTGGGTTTCTTTTTCTCTAGTCTTTTGCCACAGATTGGCAACCAATGTGTTGTGAACTAGGACTGGCTACTGACCACCACTTTAAGTAGCCCTTTAATCTTGTAATAATGATACTATAATAATGTACTCTACTGTACATATATACACCAGGCATGGGCAGACTTCAGCCCTCCAGGTGTTTTGGACTTTGACTCCCACAATTCCTAACAGCCGGTCCAAAACATGTGGAGGGTTGAAGTTTGCCCATGTCTGATCTAACCTAACATCCCATATAATTATAATAATCATTATCATCACCATTTTATTACTTACCCACCTCTCCTCGTGGCTCAAGGTGGGCTACAACATAGCTAAAAACACATAATCATCACAAACATTATATAAAATACACATATTAAAATGTATTTCCACAAAATGCCAATATTAAAAATACACAGAACAGAGATTAAAATACAATGAACACAACACATGATTCAAACTATCCAGGTAGGAGTGTGTGTGTGTGTGTATGTGTATATGTGTGTGTGTGTGTGTGTGTGTGTGTGTGTAGAGAGAGAGAGAGAGAGAGTAAAGGTTTCCCCTTTACCCTTTGGAGTGGTGTGCATCTCCATTTCTAATCCGGAGAGCCAGAGTTGTCTGTAGACACCTCCAAGGTCATGTGGCTAGCATGACTGCATGGAGCACCATTACTTTCCTGCTGAAGTGGTACCTATTGATCTACTCACATTTGGATGTTTTAGAACTGCTAGGTTGGCAGAAGCTGGGCCTAATAGCGGGAGCTCATCCCGTCCTGAATTTGAACCACTGACTTTTTGATCAGCAAGTTCTGCAGCTTAGCAGTTTAACCTGCTGCACCACCGTAGCCCCTTCATACAGAATAGAAGGTCATAATTCAGAGATCATGCTTATTTCAGTAATAGCTAAATATTCTGCATAATAATAACTTTTAAATAGCTACATGAACAATTGTTTGCTATTAAACAAAGAACTGATTGAAAGTGTTCACAGATCTAAGGATCACTGCAGCTGCTGGAGTCTTTTAAGAGTTCGTATGGATCTAAGGGAAAGAGAAGAAATCAGGTTGACAGAAGCCGGGCCTAACAGCGAGAGCTCACCCTGCTCCCAAAATTCAAACCGCCAACCTTCTGGTCAGCAAGTTCAGCAGCTCAGTGGTTTAACCCACTGTGGCACCAGGGGGTCCATACACACATATATACATGTACACATAAACACACACACTCGTATTTATAATACAAATGCTCGCATACTCTCAGCTAACCAGTACTCTCAATCTGAACTTTTAAGCAAGTGACAAAAAATAGAAGAAATCACACTTTAAATAAACATTAAAATGCATGTATGTATGTATGTTACTGTAAAAGTGTGCTAACATTCAGTTTGTCTGTACTGTATTTGTCTTTCTTTCTTTCTTTGCTATATTTCAATATTAATATCGTCAACATAGAGTTTTCAGCAGATGTATAGTATTAGGCCTATTTTTAAGATTGCAGCCAGACCACGATCTTTTACCAGGGAAGGCTAAATTGGCTGTATGGATCTTTGAATTAATGACCATTGCTATATTTTATTGATTCTATTGATCTTGTTATTTTTATATGTTTCATTTTAAATGTGTTACTGGTTTTAATTTTGCTATATTGTATTTTATATGTTGTATGGCACCATTGTGTGCTTGTAACCCATCGTGAGTCCCTTTTTGGGAGATTTTATTTATCGTGTCATCAGCAACCATTGTATTACAATTCTAACAGAGCAAAACAAACACACAGATTAAAAAGAAAAAGAAAAAAAAAACACACAGATTTTGCAAATTTGGTATTTGGTTAAATGTCCTTTGACCAGTATCTGGCCACTTGGAGTGCCTCTGGGGTTGCCGCAAGAAGGTCCTCCATTGTGCATGTGGCAGGGCTCAGGGTGCATTGCAGCAGGTGGTCAGTGGTTTGTTCTTCTCCGCACTCGCATGCCGAGGATTCCACCCTGTAGCCCCATTTCTTAAGATTGGCTCTGCATCTCGTGGTGCCAGAGCGCAGTCTGTTCAGCGCCTTCCAAGTCGCCCAGTCTTCTGTGTGCCCAGGGGGGAGTCTCTCATCTGGTATCACCCATGGATTGAGGTGCTGGGTTTGGGCCTGCCACTTTTGGACTCTCGCTTGCTGGGGTGTTCCAGCGAGTGTCTCTGTAGATCTAAGAAAACTATGTCTTGATTTAAGTCGTTGACGTGCTGGCTGATACCCAAACAGGGGATGAGCTGGAGATGTCTCTGCCTTGGTCCTTTCACTATTGGCTGCTACTTCCCGGCGGATGTCAGGTGGTGCAATACCGGCTAAGCAGTGCAATTTCTCCAGTGGTGTGGGGCGCAGACACCCTGTGATAATGCGGCATGTCTCATTAAGAGCCACATCTACTGTTTTAGTGTGGTGAGATGTGTTCCACACTGGGCATGCATACTCAGCAGCAGAGTAGCATAGCGCAAGGGCAGATGTCTTCACTGTGTCTGGTTGTGATCCCCAGGTTGTGCCAGTCAGCTTTCGTATGATGTTGTTTCTAGCGCCCACTTTTTGTTTGATGTTCAGGCAGTGCTTCTTGTAGGTCAGAGCACGGTCCAAAGTGACTCCCAGGTATTTGGGTGCGCTGCAATGCTCCAGTGGGATTCCTTCCCAAGTAATCCTCAGAGCTCGGGATGCTTGTCTGTTCTTAAGGTGAAAGGCGCATGTCTGTGTTTTAGATGGATTAGGGATCAGCTGGTTTTCCCTGTAATAGACAGTAAGGGCACCTAGACCTTCAGAGAGCTTCTTTTCTACCATCTCAAAGCTCCCTGCTTGAGCAGCAATGGCACGATCATCAGCATAGATGAAACTCTCTGTCCCTTCTGGCAGTGGCTGGTCATTTGTGTAGATGTTGAACATGGATGGAGCAAGCACGCTCCCCTGAGGCAGGCCGTTCTTCTGTTTTGGGAGATGGTGGCAGGGAATAAATAAATTATTATTATTATTATTATTATTAACTCTGAAGCAACAAGAAACTACATTTCTCGAATATTCAGGCAAACGACC